AATATGTACTTATATATGTAATTAAAATTGCCAAAATATGTAGTATAAAATAAAAAATATGTTGTATAAAATAAAAATTATGTACTAAGAAAAATTGAAATACAATAAATTGATGTTTAATCAATCGTAAGGGAACAATGACAAACCATATATTGTTTTAAATTTTCAAAATTAAATGTACGGCGATTTGGTCTTAACACTGACTTATGCCTACTAAAGGAGCGTTCCACATCACAAAGTAAATTCATAAATATATTTTGTCAAATAATTGTTGAACATAAAGTTCAATCTAAAATCATTAAGATATGGTTATTGAACAGAAACAGATAAGATAAACTAAAATCAAGTTATTAATATTTATTTTAACCTACTTATTTCCTATATGCATTATACACTTACAATTTGTCGAGTACCGTTATCGAAATAAAATATAAAATATTACTAAACCATTAAAATTGTCAAAATTTACGAAGTATGTAAAAAAAAATCGAAAATTTTACAAAGTATGTAAAAATATGTATTTATGATGAAATATGTAAAAATATGTAAAATAAAATATGTCTTATTTTATTGCAAATTACGTGAAACGAATTTATCATTTGCAATAATTAATTTATCGTGTTTCACTAAAAATATGTATTTACATACAAATCCCAGCCCTAGTCATGATAAAACAATTATAAAAAATACAAGAAGAATATAAGTATATATGTAATTCTTTAAAGTTGACCATGGTTTATTAAATTATATTTTTATATCATATAGTATCAACAGAAAAGTATTATTAAAATTTTGAGCTATATAAGTTGATATAATATAGTATACATTTATATTAATTATTAAATACTAATAATAAATGCAATATTCTCAGGAAATTTTTTATCAACTTACCATAGAACTAAAAGTAAATAACTTTAATAGTTATATCATGAAATATACTTGAAGTGATTATTTCAGAAACCCGTCAAACACCAAAAAAGTGTTAGGTTCAGATTATTATTTTATGAAATAAAACACTTCATTTAGTACAAAAACTTGTCAAGAATCGAAACTCTATGACTGTTTAATTTTTGGTTAAATAATATGTTTAGTTCAGAAACCAGTAAATAAATGGCATTTGATTCCTTTCTGCAACAAACTGGGAATATTAAAATTTACACTTAACGAGTTTCTGAAATAATCGATTCACTTCTGATATAGATTTATACCCTAACAGGCTGTCTTTACTTAGAGTTATTTTTTGTAGTCAATAATATATCATTGAAATCAAATTAACACACCCATAACAGTGACCCAATCGACACCTGATGTACAGGAAAGTGGTACCCACATATCCACATTTTTACTACATATTTTGGTTTTTTAATACATATAAATCTAAACCTAGTTATAAATATTTACAATTTAGATGAAACAGAGTAGAATTGTACAGGAGTACCATGAAAATTTTAGTTTTTTATTCCGTTCAGCTAAACTTAAAATATTTGTAAATTGTAATTATTAAGTCAAAAATTTGATTTTTATAAGTTGAAATATTTCAAATAATTTTGTGCTTTAGAATATAAGATTAAAAATGTTAAAACTGTATTCAAAAGGTAAAAGACTAATATCTCAGACTAAGATCATCAAAGAAAAATATATCAGGAGATTTATTAAGTTTTGGAAATAAATTTATAGTTCAAAATTCCAAAGAAATGGAAAATTAGCTATTCCTAGAGTAACATTAAGTCTTTCGAAAGTTGTCATCTCACTATACTTCTATAGTAATGAAATCATAAGTAAGGGGCTTTTTAAATCTATATTTTTGAATGATAGATTTTACATTATTGGTAGAAATATGATACAAAATTCTAGATGACAATCTAAAAATATCAGTACTAAGTCTGGTCTATTGAAATTTTAGTATATTGGTAAAAAGTGAAGGTTTCAGCTATATGATTTTAAAACAATTAAGTTTTATTAGCATTTTAAAAAGTATAAATACGATTTAGATTTTTTATTAGTAATTAAAATTTTGTTTAGTTTTGTTTCTTTAATAGCAGTATAGAGGTTATCCTATTTGCTAGTGACATTGCGATTGCTAGGAATATAATTTTCAAATGATTTATTTTTGAATCACCCTTCTCTGTGCTTTATGTTTATCAATAAACAAATATTATTAGGAATCATAAGAGAATATTTTAAATATTGTTTGTAATCAGGACTTGAAGTCAATTTTGTAAATTAATTTGTAATTATATACTTATTATAGCATCATAAATTTCTTATTTTCAACTAACCTTAAAATTATTGTTTTGTTAATCGAGTATATCAGAAAACTTAAATTAAAAGTTAAAAATCTTCTAGTTAGCTTAATGAAGTTTTTCTGACTTAAAATAGGGATGATTTATACTTAGATTATAGATAAATTATTTTTTTTATTAATAATAGTCTTATCCTAGAATATTTATCATTACTATTGTATAGTTAATGCTGAATATTCCATTAGTTTTTGTCTTGAAATAAATTAATTTATGCTTACAGGTATTGTTAGATTTGAAAATTCATTCTTAAATGCTGGTGGAGTACATGAACCAAAAAAAATTGATTGTTGGTGTTCTGATGGTATTCTAAGATCTCTTTTATTAAAGGTGAAGTAAATACTAATTTATATGTTTCCAGTAAATTTTTAAAACACAAAAATTTATAACAATGTTTCAGGGTAATGAAGACATGCATCAAGATGCAATTATGCAACAAGTATTTGTATTAATTAATAGCTTGTTGAATTCTAATAAATATACTGCTAAAAGGAAATTGGCCATAAGAACTTATAAAGTATTCCATAATATTGCTTTTAATAAGACTTTTTTCTAAAAAATTTTAATTTATAGGTGATTCCATTTTCAAAACAGAGTGGAATTGCTGAATGGTGTGTAAATACTATGTCTGTCTTAGACTACTTAATAGGAACACATTTGATTCCTGGAGCCCATCAAAAATATAGGCCAGAAGATATAACTCCAGTAAAAGCTAGAGATATTCTTATAGTATGTATAAACTACAAATATTTTATTATTTGTGATTATATTATTTTAGTATTATAACAATTTTTTTTTTTGTGAAATTTAATTGATGGATATAGTCATCCCAAGCTAATAGAGATAGTGAATTGACTAAACAAAAAAAATACTCAAACATTTGTAAAGTATTTAAACCAGTATTTCGATATTACTTCTTTGAAAAATTCTTATCAGCCTCAATTTGGTTTGAAAGAAGGCAAGCCTTTATTCATAGGTAAGAAGCAATTTAAAATTAATTATATTATTATAGTAAAGTAATAGTTTATTTTTAAATTATAACTTGGCAATCTAATGAATAATAAATAATAACACTTTATGATATTTGTGAAGTGTCGCTACAACTTCTATGATTGGATACATATTAGGCCTCGGTGACCGTCATTTTCACAATATATTGATTGATAACAATACTGCAGAATTCATTCATATTGATTTCGGTATGCCTTAACATTTTGTATATTTTTCTAAAAAATTATATGAGTTAGAATAATAAAATCCTTTTCATATTATTACTGTAATTTAGGGGTTGCATTTGAACAAGGGACTTTATTAACTACACCAGAAACCGTTCCATTTAGATTGACAAGAGATATTGTTGACGGTATGGGTATTTGTGGCATAGAAGGAACTTTCCGAAAGTATGAATTGTTAACACTTCTTATAATTACTTTCATTATTTTCAAAGTACCTTTTGTTTATGATATAGATGTTGTGAAAAAACTATGTCTGTTTTACGCCAAAACCAAGATGTAATTGTCACAATAATTGAAGTTTTATTATATGACCCTTGTTATCAATGGGCATTAACTGGAAAAAAAGCTGCTCAAATTCAAATTGAATCGACTAAAAAAAATTCTTGCATTAATGATGGTAAGTTAAGAAATTAAAATTAAATAACCCAATACTGAATGTTATTTATTTCAGTAATTGAAGTAAATAAATTAGCCGAAAGATCACTAAACAGAGTGCGTGTTAAATTATGTGGAATGGAACAAGCTGAAACCGCTGCAGCCAGTATTAATGGGCAGGTGAATTTGCTAATACAAAAAGCCAGAGATCCAAATAACTTAGCATTGTTATATCATGGATGGCAAGCATACTTATAGTGTTATTCCTTGTAAGTATTTTAACTAAGAAAATAAGAATTGTACAAATAATAGTATTCATATTAATATTCATTTAATACATTTGATATTTCTTAAACAGTTATACTTTTGTTTCTTTCTAACAAAAGATGAAATTTTTCATCTTTATTACTTTAATCAATTGTACTTGCATCAAAAGAAATAATTATTATTCTATTTTTAACAGTTTCTGACGCTTTCACAAACAATAAATTAAAATTAAAAATGTCCATTTGAAAAGTTTCTTCAAATATAAAATGTAATAAATAACAATATTTTTTTAGTATTATCTACTTAGACTTATTTTTGATTAATTTGTAGCTTTGATCACTAAGATTTCAAATAATTCATATCACAGAATGTCCTAAACATACCTTGCTACATTTTTATTTAATAAAAATGTTAAGAACTTAAGATGTGTGATTCTACATCAGTACCACTTTTTTCATTAATTTGGAATAAATAAATTGTATTACAATAATGCAACACTGTGCCTTCATGTACACTTAACTAAGAATACATTTTATTCCTCTTTTAATTCTTTAAATAATAAAATTAAAATGTTTTGTTTAAGGTTATATTCAAAAAAGCAATTTAGAATATACATACAAGATATAATAAAAACCGGGAGTATTGGTATTGATACTTATTACAAGCAAATTTATTCATTTATGCAATTTAGCACAGTATCAAGAATATATATTAATTAAAAATAATTTGATTACTTTTTATATTTAAAATATACTTTTTTATATCTTAAAATATTTTTTATAAATTTATATAAATTACAATAAACAAAAATGATTTTTTTTTTTTTTATTAATAAAATAACTAGTTTAAAACAAAAATTTAAGTTATGACACAATAATGAGACTTTTTTTCCGAATTTTACAACGATTTTCAAACATCACGTTAGTACAATTAACATAATGTAAATTGTATTAGAATAACTTGGTAGTTTTTAACGGTAAGGTGTAAAAAAAGGGGCATTGCTTGGAGTTTGCTGTTGCTGTGGTGGCTGATCAATATCTTCGTATGTTTGTGGGTTATTAGTCCCCCTACCTAAAAAATTATTTTTTTCTATAAATAACACAGAAAATGCAACAATAATACCATAAGAACATTTCTAACTTATATAATTTTGTAAGGGAGGTGGTATGCCATCAGTGGCTCCATTGCTGCTGTCTATACATATTCGACTAAGAATTGAAAGTGTTACAAAACGTAGAACCATATTTACCATGGCGCAAAGAACACTGAATATTTCTGACAACCCTATGACAAAAAAAAAAAATATATATATATAAATAAACTTAAATTATTTTTACTTTAACTTATTAATTATGATAATTTACTTACAAAATGAGGAGGGAAAATAACAATAAATAGTAATTGCATCTAATACTACTGTTGCAAGATTTACAGAAATAGCCTAAAAATATAAACATAAACACAGATTATAATGATTATATGACAAGATAAATGTAAAAAAATATAACTAATTAAATGTAGACTAAGAATATAATAGTTAAATTTACTTAAATTTAAAATATAAATTAAATTAAACAATATGTACACGAAATAAAAAATAGAGTTTTTTATTGTTACAGTACCAACTATATGGTTATTACTTATTAGTTGACAATTAAAGTTAAGTTAATATTATTATATACATAGAGCGATATTTACAATGAATAAAAATTAAATTTAGTTGTATATTTCATTTTTTTTTTTTTTAAGATAATTATTTTTACTATGTCAGCATAGGGTTCAGTTTCAAGATTTATGATGATCATAACCATAAAAATTTGATATTTCAATTCAATCAGATTTTATTTTAAATAACAGCACAAACTACAAATTGGTTTTAAGTTATATATTTACATTACAGTATCATACATTCAAATAATGTTAGTATTTTTTACCATTGCCATCAGTAATTAGTTGAAACAAAATACAATGAAAAAGTTTGATGAGAAATCTAGTTGCATAATTTGTTACTATAAAGCTAATCAAATAGAACTTACTAGCTGTGCTGGTTTTTCATTTTCTATATGATGCATTGCCCACAACACACAGCCCATGAACATAATATTATAAAAAAGATATGAGTCTGGACTCCATCGTCCTTGTACACTCCTAAAACATAAGTAAAACGTGTTAAGCTAAGAGAAAAATTTCTATTAGTGTAAAAAATTAAATAAATAATATATTATTATTATTATTATATATTATTTATTAATTCATATTTACCAAGTAATTAGTACGAGATGTAAAACAAATGTAGTTTTGGATGGCAAGGCTGGTATTTGATTCAAATCTAATGCCATAACTAAATAACTTATGAACTAAAAAAAAAATAAATAATTATTTACCTTTTGTAAAATTATGGTTTAATAAAAAAATAAAAAAATCTACAAAAAAAAAATTTAGTTTAAACAAATATCAACTCATTGGAATATAATTTACATAGGTTCACCATTATTGATTATTTATTGGTATTGGGCTGTTATATAATAATATAAGAGGTGTGCTCAATAAGATAAGAATATTATTGTAGCTCATCTATCATTTTCTGTGAGAATTAATTATTTTATTTACCTCGAATCCAGAATGATAGGCCAAAATAAGTAAAATCAAATACAAACAATATAATTCATTAAACGAACACAAGTCGTTTAGTCAAATCTACAACGTAATAATATTTAAAGCACATTTCAAATAACGTTCCGTTTTTTACAATATTATGAATCGTAATAGTATAATATTAATTTTATTATAGTGGTAATGGGACGGCAAGATAATCTTAAACCCAGTTTCTTATCAGTTATCATAATTTGACATTTAGTCATTGTAGGAAAAAATCTACCGTAAAAACATATTTTTTTATCCAATAGAAGTATAATACTCGGGATTCATTAGTCGTAGAAACATGGATTTGATATGAAAATAATTATGGGAAGTTTTTCCAAAAAATCGTGAGATATGTTTTGAAAATTTGTCTTCATACTGATGTTTATTGGCATTTGAAGTTTAAAAAAATGATTTTTTTTTTTTTAATGTATTTAAAATTGACAAATTCGAATATTAAAAATCATGTTTCTACAATCTGAGCATTATTGGACAGAAAATTTATTTTATTTTGTTAAAATAAATAACATTTTACAGTCGTCATATTGTGCTACCTGCTATTATGACTACAGCGGCGGCGTTCTAAAGCCGTATATTCATCTCCCCCCGCGATAGCATAAGCAGTGATGCGCACCAACATATTCTTATGTTAAAAACCGGTTATTCATCACAACCGCATACGATTTTTTATTAATAATATTTATTTTTTCCCTATAAATTCTTTATTTATTATTATTGTCCCCACAAAAATAAAATGTTGACAATATAATAATAATTCAATTTTTTACGATTTTTTAAATCTAGAGCTGAACGACCAGTTGTTGTCATAGCTATTTTAAAATATTTAAATTAAACGGACATAATTTTTATTTACTTGAAAGCATTTTAAATTCAAATTTAAACGAAAATTTTTGTTATTTCGTTGTAATTTTAATTGTGTTATTCTCTAACACTTAAACATTTTAAAACGGTGTGTTCTACATTTATATAAACATAATGGCGTTTTCAAATTGAAAATATTCGTCAAAAATTAGTTAATTTATATTGTTTTACTAGAACAGTAAAATAAATTACTTTAATAAGTATCAATATTAAATATAGTATCATAAAATTCACTATAGTAATAAAATTTGATAATCGACCGTTTTTACTCAGAACGTTTTTCATTTTAAACGATTGAAATGATTGAATGACATTATACTTAATCCTCGATGTATAACATACAACTGATACAACTGTATAAGTGGACAAGTAAAAAACATACACAAGAAAAAAATAAATAAAAAAATAAATCGAAAATTTGATTACGTTTATTCTAAACTTTTAGAAGCTTCCAGTTTCTGCCAGAGTAGGTACTAAACGCTAGTGTTTAGCGGATACCGAACTATAAACTAAATTTTTCACGAATTTGGATGCAAGGTTCTAAGTATTAAATTTTATTTAATAATAATTAGTTACCTATATAACACACACTTGCATGTATAAGTATAATGCTACTAAAATTATTAGTATAGGTAATAATTTGCGTACAACATACGGTATTACTATGGGCACTATGGCAGACAACAGTACCTATCTACCAAACTGCATAGGTAATAGCATTGATTTTAGAATATATACTAAATTATATTAAATAATAAAGTATAGAAATTAATACTAAATATACTAAGTAGGTAATAGGTATATTCTAAAATCAATGGTAATAGATACCGTTTTACCGTATAATTATAAGTTATAACCTTACAAGTTATAATTGGCCAACTGATTTATACTTTATGATGGTCTACAAGCTATAGATAAATAATATTTATTGGCAGCAAAGGTCCACTCGAAGTTAAAATTTTGTTATCTTTATGAAACAGTCAAAGTTTAATTAAAATATTATTTATATTTATCAAGTTACAGACACACTATCGCTAAATATAATTTTTTAGTATTACGTTTAATTGGTTGACTAATAATTATATATAATCGATTTTAGATTTTGAGCCAAGCAATGAATCTGTTCTCACTTTTGAAAGCTGTAAAAAACAAGAATATTTTACCACACAAGTCTGATACCTAAGTTTGATGTGATAGAATTTGATGATTAGTTGTAATTCAAAAAATATTGACTGTAGACATAAAATCTATTTCTATCACATAATATATTATTATTCTTTACATAATGATCAAAATATTAAGACTAATTATTTTAAACTTAGACATTAGACAATCTTGTTCACACCGTTCCAAGGCGTGGTGCGAGAGTTTTGACATAATTGAATATCATACAAGTTGTAATACTTATTATTTAATAGATGTAATATTTTTTACAAAAATTAGTTTATCCTACCATATTATAAAATAATTTTTAATCAATGACATCACTTATAATGATTTAATTAAATTGTGAAATATTCATAGAAAATTTCAGCTTATTTAATAAGCTGACACATTGTACGCTTCAAATTATATTTTTTAAAACGTTGAATTAAAATTTAACATAACCATCTTGACTTATTAAATTACGAGATGTTTGCATTCAAAATAATCAATACAACAGAATGACCTCTATTATTTTTAAAATAATACGTATTATAGTGAACAACGACTTATTTTACTAAATTTAAAGCTAAATACGATTGTTTTAAAATTGGGCGTCATTCGATTGCGTCCACAAGTCGGATACGGGATAGGTAAATTATTTTTTCTTACATTTTTATGTTCCGATTGCGTCCTGTTGTATGATATATAAGCATAACATTTTATAAAACGAATAGTCATTATTAATAATTATTTTAATAATAATAATTATACAAAAACCAATAAAAATAAATAATTTAAAAAACGATATTTAATGTCCTAAAAAATTTGATGTAAAAAGATAATTGTCCTTACTTTAAGTGATAAATTAAGCTAATTCACTATAGTACTGTACAATACAAGGGTATTCTTGTTTCAAAAAATAGGTACTCTTATTTCAAAACCAAAACCTACTTATGTTTTTAAAAATATTTTTTTTTTCATGATTTTCATTGGAAACAAAAAACATTTTTACAACATTATAATGTAACGTTTTAATTTTTTTACTGTTTCGAACAGCATACTTTATTAATTTCATATTCTGTATCAGAATATTTTTTTTGATAGGCACTTAAAAAAAAAATTTGGACAAGTAGTTATAAGTATTCAAAGTTAGCAGTGAGCGGAATTAAAAGGTACAAGATACTTTGCTAAATGTTATTTTACTACTCATAAACTACTGATCTAAATTTCGATTTGTATGAATCGAAATACTCCAATAAAAATATTCTGTTACAGAATATGAAATAAAAAATGTATGTTGTTGTTCAAAGGTAAAATACTTAAAAAAAATATTTTTAAAAACATAATAGATTTTTTAATGGTAATTATTGTTTAATTATTAAAAAATCACTCAGTACAAAATTTATCCGATTCAACACAATTTTGCAATGTTTAACAACAAAGTCTAAGAGAAAACAAATAAACTGTTGAATCAAAATCCTCTTAAATAAAAATTTGAATTTTTATTCAGTCATATAAATTTTTAATTAAAATTATAATCAATAAAAAAGAAAATCATATAATAAAATTAAAAATATTTATTTCAGTATTGCTATCGCAGTACACTTAAAATAGATTTTAATACATTTTTTCTAAATTTTGTAATCTACAAAATAAAAAATATAAATATGTAAAAATATAAGTCAATCATTTAATCACATAGGTTTAGGAGACCACAATAATAGTAATATTTTTGAACAAAATTTATCTTTTTATAACCAAAAGTGTAACTTAATTGAAATATAATTGTAAAAGCATTTGGTTTTGAACGTTGAGCAAATCTCCCAAAATTTTAGGAACTTTTGTTATTCCTAACTTAAATAAAAAAATAATATTTGCAATTTTAATCTGTATCAGAGTTATTGGAAGATTTTTTTTCTTCGTCCATATCAGTGCTTGTATCTGTGTCAATGATAGCAACTGATGTATACATCCCTTTTCTGTCGTATTTTTTGAAATCCTCTAATATGAACTGCTCTGATTGATTACTACTAGTTAAACCTTTAAAACTCATCTGTAACAGTTTTGTGTTAACCATACTTAAGGATGATATTGAAAGGGTCTTCAATGTTTTCATCTGCTCTTTAAGACTATCATCAATACCAGCTGAAGCCGCTCTCCTTTCTAAATTAGGAACAGCAGTTGGTTGTGACTCAACATCAGGCTGTGAAAACCCATTTTGAAATTCGGGAAATGTCAAAGTTAACTGAAAAAGCCAACAGGAACAGGTGATTACATTTTATTTAAAAAAAAACTATTTTTGGGTAATCACAAAAAAAAGTAAGCAATTAAGTAAAATAAAATATAAAATAATTTTAAATTTAGTAGTGATTTAATAATAGACAGTGATTATGAAAACTGTATGAAAATAGTAGTAAAAACAGTATAGAATACATCAATAATACATAATAGCAAGTAATAATAGTAAATTTTGATATTGTAATGATCGGAGCAATAATCTGGAAATACAAAAATAAAATGTTTTATATACTTATATCTTACTTGTCGATTTATATCTTGAGAAGTGACACTTCCCTTCTGAGATGATGGTAGCTTGCATAGTAATTTATTATTTCTTTTATGTTTTTTTTTAACATGTTTGGAAAATCGACGTACTTTACGAGTCATTTCAAATGCTTTTACTGATATAGTAGAATCCAACGAATGACTACGAGATTCCACAGAAACTCTACACATACTGTAACTAATCTCCGAATCTGACTGCATATATGAAGATGATATTGATAGTTGTTCTTCACCAGTTAATGCTCCACGTCTTCGTATAAATTTGGGCAATGCAGCAGCCCAAGTAGAACTTATGTTATCTGTTAAATTACTGTTTAAACCAAATACTAAACCTGAAAATACAAAAATTTTAAACTATAAATATCATTAAATATATTAGTATCAATATTTTTATGTATACATGTATAATATTACACAACAATCTTTATAAATAAGGTACTATAAAATTCTGAAGTTTTTTCATACAAAGGAAATTTCTCTCCATAAATGGTTGTATAAATCCTATTTTTATGTTTCATGGTACATTTTAAGTATTTTAAACTAAC